GAAAGAGAACCCATGAAATGTAAGGAGGGCACACTCGTGGGAGACCACACTCCATCTGTAACAGATATACTCTTTGACCATTGTAAAAATATGTGTCACTAAAACAGCTGAAAATAACACATCCAAGTAGCTATGGCATGTCGAACTGTATTCAATGGGTCAACTCCAGTCCAAAACCAGGTGCCTTCGGGAATTTTTGTACTATTCTGTAGTAAGAGGAAGGCCCCTGCCGATCACATGTGTGAGGACTTCATGTTGGCTGGTCCTACACCAATTCAACATCAGACCACCTAGGAACCAACATCCAGACAGCAGCAGGATGGAAGAAAGCCAGCCAGAAGGGTGAACTGCATATGCTGGATTCATCCAGTTCAAAATCAGGTGGCATCTGATATTTCTCTTCCAGTCTACAGTAGGAGGAGAGTACTCACCATATACACCAGCAGAACACCACCACCCTACTCTCAACTTAGTGGAATTGGTCACACTCAGGATGAAGCCTCAATGGTCCACCACCCAGCAGCTAGGAACTGGTAAGTGGCGAGGACTCCTGTATTCCACTGGGAGAAGAGGGAACAACATGGTGAAGAGTCTGGAGAAATGCAACACCATAAAACAGTACAATGGGTGACCACAAAAACCCTATTTTGAAAAACAGGCCAGTCATGATTGATTCAACCAGGATTCGAGGGATGGCAGTGATCCTGACACTGCTTTACTCACGATAGTCTATGAGTTGGTATAGTCAGGTTCAGGCCTTATTTATGAAGCAAGACACCAAAAGGCAACCTCCAGTGGTCTTGTGGAACACCACCTCCTTTCAGTGAGCATTGCAGATCTACACGGCTGTTTGGTGTGGATTTATGTTGAAGTATACCTGGAAAGGCACCACTTGCCACAGAGCTGGATCCAAAATATAGTAAGAAATAAAAGAAAAAATGAGGTGAGGAGAATGGCTAAATGATGCAAGTAGTGGGCTATAAAAGTGTGAGGCATGGTCACATGTCAGTCTGTACAGTGTCCACTAATGAGCAAAAGAGGTGAGCAGCCAGTGAGAAGGTGAGATGACGTATTTGGTGGGAGGAGGCTCAGAAAATATGACAGGAATCCTCAGATATTTGGAAGTGAATGGAAGAAGGATAGCAGAGGACAGTGGTAATGTTAAGCCAAAGACATGAAAACAGAGCTGGGAAAATCTCAATGTAGTCTCCAGATCAGATTCCCACACTTGAATCAAAGATTTCAAGGTGTGAGTGTCCAAATCTGACCTGTGATAAGCCAAAGCATAGGAGACAGATAAACTGGAGGATGAGGCATGCTGGGACCTGAATATAATTGGACTAAAAATTGATCAGCATGGACTCAAATATCAGGAGAGGAGAAAACCAAACAATCTGGTGAAGGTGCAGAATGAAGAAGGGAAAGGAAGAATAATAAGACACAGGAGAAAGAGACAGAAGGTACATTAAATATACACAACTGTTTCAGTATAAGTTTATATTGAGAGATATGACTTAGATAGTTTATACAGCATATGCGTTAAATTTAGATCTTTGTTGTGTTATGAATACAAATCAAAAATTTAGTTCGATATATAGATCTAGACTGAGTGATTGTGAATTTAGCCATAAAGAGCATATAGGGTGGTTTTAAGGTGAAATTATCACAGACTGTATTATAATAACAGAGTAAATAAGAAGAATTCAAATTGTATTCTAAAGTAACAAAACCAGACTGTGTGGCCTTCAATGAAAAATAGACAAATATTTAAAGCTCTGGATACAACTGTGATAATCAACAGTTTAACGAACATTTGTATGTACATTTGACTTGTTTTGATATATTATTTAACTGTGCACTGTTTGTTTATTGTTGAAATTTATCACCAACAAGTCACTGACACTTACTGCAAAGAAACTGACACATAAAAATAGAATGTGACAAGGTAACATACCTGGGAAATCATGTCCAAAAAAGCAAATGAAGGATAGGTAAATCCAAAGGAATGGCATGAGACTGCACTGCAAAGGAAGGAGGTGGGAAAAAGACTGCCCAAATCCTCTTTATTCTGACCAGATTCACCCAAAAATGGGATATCTGGCCCCATTTCTGGAGACAAAGTAGGCTGCATGAGAGTTTTGAATTCTCAACATATTATGGCCAAGACCTCCTCAGCAGAAATTGTGGATCCCAAAGCCACAGAAGAATTAGATGGATCAGCAGTAGCTGGATTCACTACTGAATTTGTTGTAGTGACATTAAAGTTAAAGTTCATGTTGTGAAAAAAAAATTAAAATATTCCACAAAAACTAAGTATGCAGAAATGAAATGCCAACAAACTAACTTGTCAAAACACAATACAATTAATTGAAGTTGCCCATGAGAATGAGAAATGCAGAGCAAAAACTGAGCACAAATGTATACTGGAATGCCAAATTGAGAAGTGATGATAGTGCTCTACAGTATAGAGGGAGTCAGCTGCACTAGGAGGGTGTGTCATAGTCCTATTGTAGGGTTGTAACATGTTTATTTGTATGCAACAGTGCAGCGATACCATGTGTAAACATTTGAAGGTAAGTGGGAGCATCAAGGCATATATAGGGCAGCACAAGTAAAAAAAGGCTATGTGAAGGGAGGTATCGTATCAAAATTACTATATAAATATTATTTCAGGCACACTCCACAACGCACCTTGATTCATGTCGGAACAGTGTAGTTTGAAGTGACGTCACTGATGTTGTAGTGTGTGTATTTCCATATAATGGAAGTACTTCTTCAAGAATAAAGTCTTCTATAAAATGTAGTGGTTTCCCAGAAGCAGTATAATCACAATAGACAACTGCAATCAGAAAGGAGAACAAAAAATATTAATTTATTTATATACTTTATGTAAATAACTTATAAATATAAAAATTGAATTATTTGTGTAAAAAAAAAAGGAAAAATTTGTTAAAAAGATAAGTTCAAGAGTTATTTTTTTTTTAATCATTATACCAGCAACACATTACAGTGAAAGAACAAAAAAAGCTAAATATCATTTGTGATCTCTAAATAATTATATGACATACAAGCTGAATGTCCATCATATGAGGGTAAATAGTGATTAATTTTTCTTCTCAATATTATATCTCAATAAATGTTTTATGAACATGTTTTCTATAAATTAATTATAATCTAGTAACAATATATGAATGGAGAAAGTCTATCCTATTTCTAGTACTACATGAAAACAACATTTATTATGTATATTTGATCATCTCCTTTAAGTATTGCTTCATTAGCATTTTGACTTGTGTATACTTTTAAGTTACGTTCAAATGTTCTTCTTGATAAATCCTTACATGTAACGTATGGAAAAACTGATTCTCAAAGACATATTCCTATTTGATCAATTGTATGACCCTGCAAATTAATAATTGTGATGGTAAAGGCAAGGAATTTTATCAGGAACTTTGGGTTTTCACTTTGGACTGTCTTTTTATTTTTAGCTTTGTTAGCCTGGTGAGCTGGAGAAGAACACTATACTTTGGGCATTTCCAAAACTGAAATGTGCTGGAGTTATTATAGATTTGTAACCGAGGGTTCCAATTGGACAAAATTTGGTGATATTGCTTCAATGTGTCTCCTTGACAACCAAGCAAACATACTGGAGAATTTCAGCCAATGATTATAATTTTTGTACTCTACCAATACCAATCATGGGATACACGTAAATCTGATTTGATTTTATTACTCATCACGATCTTTACCAACCTACCCTCAAATATAACTATATGCCCAAAGTAGCACATCGTACATTTTATACATATATATATGGCTGGAAGAGTTTTAAAAAAGACAGACTTGCTTGTCCCAGCAGAAAGTGCCATCATTTCATGCAAGATGTGTGTCGATTGGTAACACAACGACCAAAGTATTGGGGTGATAGACAGACATATATACATACTGTAGTTTAACATTACTTGTTAGACACATATGCTTGTACATAAATGAAGACTTGGAAGTTACTAATATGAAAGCATTGGATTACTTTCTGTTTCTTGCATACCTTATTCCACTGTTAGAGCACCCTATAAAAACAAATTAACACAGACCTCACAACTACTACATAAAATGTGAACATCAAATATGATAAAACACCTTCACTATTATCCTTCAATTAATAACGAACTGCTGGTTTGTGCCACAAAAGATTTAATTTATCTAATTCAAACTCACTCCGTCCCCTCACAGCATACTATTAAATATAATTTTGTTTATGCAAAATAAATACATATCTTAATGATATCATATATCCTTACAAGATATGCCATATCTTTTCTTGGCCATTCATACATTCACATCATGTTGCCTTTGCTGAGCTGTGAAGATGAGGAGTTTGAGCTTATGTGAATTGTCTTCGTTCTTGTTTTTTTTATTTTTTTCTTACTAATGTTCAGTAGGTTTCTTATTCTCTTTCCAAAAATTCACATTAGGATGTTAATACTTCTCAAACTTCTAGAATTTTTCTTACTGTTGTTAATCATTTGACTGAATAGAATTTTTGCTACTTGAACTTTTTTACCATGTGGAATTTGGTGAAGCTCCTCTAGCATTTTTTTTTAATCTTTTTTTGATGACAGTGGTACTGCCTTTGCTCCTAACCTTCTTGGTGTGGATGATGATTCACAGTTTGAACTTCCCTCCTCAGAATCTTTAGCAGACCTTGATGTTTTTTGTTTTTTTATGTATGAAGAATTTGAGCTAAAACCTGTTTCCATCCCTGTACCTCAATAGCAATTAGACCAACTGTTTGCAGTCACCATGTTTTTTCCCCCCTCCTCAGTCAGAGATTTTGTTGAGGGGTGTTTGGCTTATTCAACTGGTTTCCTAAATTCCTGTTGGCACATCACTTGTTTAACACTTTTCTTGCTAGATTAGGCAAGTCAATTGGGACCTTCTTCTCTCAGTTCTCATTCATTACACTGTGATACTTCCAGGAGTTTGACTCAAAGTTCCACTGCTTGTGGGAACTTATGTTTGCATTACTTTCATTGACACTTGTTGATGATTGGTTGATTCTTTCTCCCACCCAGTCACAAGCCAAAAAGAGAGGTTTTTCTTTGACATTTTTTACCAGTCTAAATCTTACACCCCATTTAGTTTTTCAATACATATGGGGAAATGGAAGGGTCTTAAATGATTTCCATTATAAACTCTTACAGCTTCAACCCTAAATGGTAGTGAATCTGAATCTCAAATTTGACATATTCATACAACCTTTAGGTATGGATCACCTATAGTTCCTTAAGTGGGATTTGGCATCTTTGTGGAGGATCTCCTGATACCTTCCAATCCAGATTTCACATTTGCTGGAAACTAGTCAAGCTCTGAAGTGGTGGTTGGACAGTTATAATACTCTTGAAGTTCCATTAAATTCTCCATCAGTAGACTCTCAATGTTTCACAGATGTCTTCCTCCACCTTGAGAAAGCAATGACAGATAGTTGTGTTCTTTGTGTTATCCGGTCTTCTGAAAAATGAGACAACCACATCATTGCTCCGGAACTGCTGTTTCTCAGGTGGGGCTTCCAAGGGGTTTAGAACATACTGAGGAGATGAGTTGGCCTTGTGCATTCTGACAACAGTACTGCAATGGTTTATTTCAACCAACTAAGTGGTACTATTTTTTCAAACCTTTGTGTCAAGGTCTTGGAGTTCATCATTATTTTAGTCCATCACCTTCCATAAGTCTTATTCTAGTGGATCAGCCTTGTTATAGAACAATGGACCAGTGTTTTCATCCATCAGCATTCTGTGTTATATGCTATAATTTGATTCCCCTCCATGATCAAAGCTTCTACCATGTCTTAGAATCACTAGTTACCTTTGTACTGAATAACTGTTCAAGATGCTGCAACATTTATAAATCTTCATGCTTGGCTTCTCAATGGCCCATTCATACATCAACAGGTTTTCTTCCAGATCTATGACATAGATTGCCAGTCTTTGTAAGAAATCTTCCCTAGTTGTTTACCATTCCAAGAGAAATATTTTCTTAAGTGGTACAGATGTAAATGAGATTCATTCTTTGTCTCCATTCACCATTTCAATGTATTTCTTTTGCCTCTTCAAAGCATAAATAATTTCAAAAAATAGTACAATATCTTAATATCAAGACTTCTGACAGTTTGTTCAATTTACTGTGGTTTTTTTTGTTCGCTAAATTGTAACATGTTTCACCAAAAGAAAACCTTGCATTACTAATCTTTTATAGTATTTTGAGAAAGTTACTTGTTATCCAGATAAAGGAAAAGGCGTTGACTAGGTGTATTTAGAATGAGGATTAGGAAATTTAAGTGACCTCACAGTAACTATAAAACTATATATATATATATTGTAACTCTGAAAGTTCTAAGCGTGTCTCCATGAGATTTGGCAAGATTTTAGAAAACATTACTAGTATGTTGTGTATGGAATACATCAGATTTTTTTAGTAAAGTGTTTTTAGTAAAGATTTATCTATAAATCCACAAAGCCTTTATTGAGTCAGTCTGAGTTAAAGATAATTTTTATGCTACTTCTTTCCACATGCTATTGTGTCCTTGAGTAAGACACTTTAACCTTCAATCTTCCCAGTTATATGATGGATACCAGATGGGGGATAACCTGCAATGGACTGATGTCCTATTTAGGGAGATTGAGTTGTCATTCTCATCTGCTTGTGTCACTTGAAGCTGGAGTTTGAAACCATTAGCACTAGGTGCTTTGCAAAGGCACAGTAAGGAAGGATTTAACTTAGCTTTGAGGCTTTTTGTATTTGGGTGTATGGTTTACTAAGCTTATTTTTGGGTCCCAAACACAGTGAGAAAAAAATACACATACTAAACCACACACCCAAATGTAAAAGACCTCAAAGCTTAGTTAAGTTAAATCCTTCCTTGCTGTGCCTTTGAAAGGCACATAGTGCCAATGCTTTCAAACTTCATGTGACACAAGCAGCTTTCGAATATGCATTTTAGAAGAAAAAAAAATATATCAGACACTAGAATAAAATATTCCAAAGCTACTACAAATTATTTGGATTTCTAATTAACAGTACTACTCAGAGCAATGTCTTTAGACTAAACACATCAAGTTCTTTTCACAAATTTTGATTGCTGAAACAAAACAATCATCTGATTTATG